AACAACAAAGATTGGATGCTTTCCAGGAGAGGCAGCCAGGGAGATAGATAGGATCTCTAGAGATAATCTAAGAGATCTAGGGCTAGTAGAGGAAGCAGAGAGTAGGGGAGAAGGATAGTAGGAGGGGTAGCCTAGACACGCCTAGGTAATACCCAATAGACAATGAATACCGAGGAGGGCACAGCCCAAATGCTCTGGCGCAGATAGGCGGTTCGGGCGAGGAAAAGGACCAGAACGAATACACAGAGGATAGAAGAGGCTGGTAGAGCCTCTAGGGGCAAATTAGAGGCAGTGGCCTAGACCACTGCCTAGACGCATGTGTCTGTCATAGCCGATTGGCTCCATATGGACGTTAAACTTGATTAAATAAATAAATAAATAAATCCTAAGCCAGCAAAGGCTATCGCCACAAGCCACATGGTACGAAGGGAATGTGTATAGTGATAATCAGCATACTAAAAATTTACGAGGCCCAGCTAACGTACCTTCTGAAAGACCTGAACAACCTGTTCCCGCAAAGTAGGGTCCTGGATACTGTCTAAAAATGCCTTTGTAGAATTTTCGGCATAAAGCAGAGGCAATCGAATTGTTGTGGATGTCTTGCCCTTTGAATCGGGAAAACAACATCTGATACTCAAATAATAGAGATAACGACACCATAAGTCGAGAAACCGAATGACTGTTCGTTCGTTTAGTAACTCGGAATTTCGGTGATTTACTATATTATCAAAAATAAATCTCCCAACGGCCGCACTGGCTAAAAGAATGAGCTGTTCTTCTGAATTGTCAAATCCTAGAGACGCCAAATAGTATACTTTATGCAAAAGAGTGTAGGTCCTACACGAAAGATAACAAGTACTAGCTGTGATATACAAATACGTTGTGTTTGAGATAGTAATCGATGCTGTGGGTCCTAACGTCCCTGGCGCGACAAGCTGGCGCCGCCCCCCAAAGCTAAGAACGTTAGGAGAGTTCTAAACTACCGCTAGTTATGGCTAAGACTGACTCAAGGCTGTCAGATTCAATCAAGCTTCTCTGGCGTCGCCTTTGTATGGTCGTGGTGCCCCCCTTACTACCCCTCACTTGCAGTCTTCCCACATTCTACCCATCTGCACTCTCCTGCAATCGTCCATATCACTACTGTTTCCCTATATCGCATCTGAAGCCCGCACAGTGACCCTTGTGAACTTCGCCGTAGCCACGAAATCCTCTTTCCATTCACTCGGTACCTTTCATCTCATTCTACAGTATGTCTCGCTATCGATTCTTGTCACTAGCTCCAAGCCATCTGCTCAGCTTTGCTACAGCTCCCATCCGGCAGTGGGCACAGTCAAGCCCGCGTTAGTCGTGTTTGTCAATGGCCTTGGACTGCCGCAGACCTCATGGGAGGGTGTCATTGCGCGCCTGCAGGCACAACCTCTCGCTCCCGGCCTGCCCGCTATGTTGACCTATGATCGGTATGGCTAGGGCTAGACTACTGACCGAGACCCTGGCGACATCACCGCTGAGCACCCCATGCACGGCCATGATACTTTGACAGTAGTCCGGGATCTGCACCAATTGCTCACACAAGTCGCATCGGAGAAGATGGGTATATACGATCTTAGCTGTCTGCCACTTGTGTTGGTCTCTAACTCGATTGGCGGCGCGCTGGTACGACTCTATGCTCAAGAATATCCCGGTACAGTGACGGGTCTTCTTTTCCTCGACAGTGTGCTCGCAAATTCCGACTTTGTCTCCATCTATCCAGACCCTGATGCGCCTGGCTTCGACCCGACCAGCTTGCCAGAAAGGGTTACTATGAATGCTATCCATGCTGCTCGGGCGTATATGCAACAGGGGTTTCACCCCAACAATGGAAGTCGCGAGGGACTCAGTCGAAAGAATCTGGCGCAACTCTTACCGGACAGTGACGGGCCCAAGTTGCAGGGTCCGGACTGCCGAGGTCCCTGGGTTACTGTCGTCGGCCATGAGTTTGAGGCGTTCAAGGTTGATTTTGAGCAGATGGGTGGCGCCCCCCCAAGGCTTACGGAAGTTTACATGAATTCTTACTGGCATCATTTCAACCAAGGATTGGCCAAGCTCACCGAACCGGATCGCAGTAAGGGCCCTCTCCAGGCTCTGGGGGCCGGCCATTTTGTCCAGAGAGACAACCCGGAGCTAGTCTCTAAAGAACTACGCGATATTCTTGATAAGATCCTTTGAGATGTGGCTGAAGTATGTGGTCTTGTACGGAGGAGGAAATGAAACAGGTTGGCTTTGATCTTTCGCTGTATTTTACTAAATTCAACCTGCTCTTAACCGGAGATTGATTCGCGTCCTAGAGCTAGACATATTTGTGAATTAATCATTTACTCTCGCCCACCATATTTGGACGAGCCTCGAACTCTCTAGCCAGAGAACTGTGATCGCAACGTCTTTCATTACGTTAGTTCTGTACGTGTAGTTGGGTATATCAATAGCCAGCCCAAGGCATGCTCACGCGACAGGACCCGGCCTAGAGGTCCTCTCTGGTAACCCTACTAAAGAGTGGGATAGTTTTATGAGGGGTAAACACTCTAAGCATGTCAAATATCTTGAGGAGAGAAACAGTCGTACGAGAAAGCATGTCGAGGTGAATAATATTGTGAAGATTGAATATTACGAGGGGATAATTACCACACGATAGCCCTCCTCGATTGATATCCACTAAAAGTCAAGGACATAGTGTACCCTGCGTGCATAGTCATGACCAAGATGTTGAGTACGCCAGAACGATGCCTCATTCCACTCCTTAGAGTTTACGAGTTGCGGGGGTAGAATTTATCAGAGCTGGTATTATATGACCCTGGAGTAGAGAGCGCTATCTTTCGATATTAATGGTATAAAAACTATTTAGAATTATAAAAAATATTATTTTAATATACATATTTTTAAGAGTTTTTTTCTATGATTTTTACCACTAGATTATCTAGATTTATACCAAGTGTAAAATTTGATTCCGCCCGTCTCCCTGAGTGGCATCAGGCAACAACCGTTCTTTGTGATGACAAAACTCCAGTTAACTGTCGCGTTTGTTGAATTGCTTCGTGACACGCCAACGACGTCCATCTATCTCCTCGTCAAAAAATAACTGCCTTCTTTGCAAAAGGTATACTGCATTGTGCACCTTCCATAGCCGCATGATGGTTCAACTCCAGGACCTTCCCATCGAGGTGCTGTCTCATTGTCTGTCCTTCATTAGGTGGCCCTATCCGGCCCGTGCTCTCGCTTGGAATTCACTACATATAAATGATCCATCAGACATTACATATAGAACACGGCGCAGTTTGATGAACATTTCCCTTGTATCACGGATATTCCGAGACCTAGCACAGCCATTGTTGTTCCGTGATTTCGAAGACAATAATGAGGATGACAACCTGCGCCGATTAATTCGCTTTTTAAAAGCTGTCATTGTGCGCCCACAACTTGGGAAGTACGTCCAGGTTGTCGCTTTGCACCCTATCGACTACGAGTTGCTTGACGATTTGAAGGAAGTTCTGCCCAGTCAGGACATAAATTTTTTTACGCGTGCAGTTCAAGAACTTGAACTAGGTGATCAGGAACAGGCGTGGCTGTCGGTCACAAATCGGGATGATGCCAGCATCCTACTAGCTCTTTTGCTCACTAAGACCCCGAATCTGCGCCTACTCTACTTCACCGGTAGTGCATTTTCCATGAAGCCACTGAGCCCCCTGTTTGCGCGCGACCCATCTTTCTTGTCCAACCTTGAAGAGCTTTGCATCCAAGGCTACGAAGACCCCGACCACGACATCGCAGACTTTCATGAATTTCTTGCCCGCCCTCGCTTGAAGCGTTTCATTAGTGACTCTGGGGACCTCGCATACCGCAGTATCCTTACCCCTTCGGCTCCCAACACGCTCACAATGGAGCGATGTTACCTCCGCCACTGTCAACTGTACTCCGATAACCTGAAGAAACTAACCCAGGCATGCAAGAAATTGACGCACTTCATGTTCATCGGTTGGAGCAGAAGTCTCGGTACGTTTCTAAATCCGGGGAGGACTCCTCTTTTTGATGAAGTCGATCTATTCGAAGCGCTCCTACCACACCAGGACACCTTGACACATCTTGACATAGAATTTCTTGACGGCCGCATCCCTCCTCAGATCAGATTATACCCCAAGCTTCCGGGAGGGAAGTTGCCTTCGCTTCGTGGCTTCACTGTCATGATAGACCTCACGGTCCAATTTTCCCTCCTTAAGCCCCGCCCGGAATTTCCCTCCACTTTGAAGCGACTGACTATTACGGACTGTAACGCGTCTCTCTGGAATATGACTTATTGTATCGCAACCGACTGCAAAAACGGACGTTATCCAGAGCTAGAGAAAATTCAACTCCTGTCAGAGAATGCCACACAACTTATCGAACCGGGAAGACAGAATATTCCGGAGGACCAAGTGCCCGACCAATATTTCCGGAGTCTCCGAAATCTGTTCAAGGGTACCAACGTGGATTACCAGATCATTTCCCCCATGGAGCCTGGAATGCGCGTTGGCGACGACTTGGAGGAAGGGGATTGAGATTCATGAGGAAGATGAGACCGAAGGCTCGGTTGGCGTTTTGGCAGGGATGGTCAGTTCACTGGCAGATGTGGGTCATCCAGGAACGTGGCATGGAACATTTCATGGGCTACGGAATGGAGCTAGGGAGCGATGACATGGACACTTGAGATATTCCTCGACAGCCCATTGAGGTGAGGTTTATAGATGCTATTGCTATTTCGCTATCTCTTGATCCATATAAGAAAGCAGACAGCGTCGAGAAATATGATGCATTTGTCTCACAAGACTGACATAAAATCATTACCAAATTTCCCTTATCTGAAGCCTTAATTCGTTCTATCCAGCGGACGCACTCAGATATCCCCCCACTGTTACCAATTCTTTGCCAGAGTCTTTCCAATGCTTCCTGGCATATCTGCATTGCGAACCGAAGTTGAATAGGAAAGTATAGCATAGCACAATCTACTCTAAACTTAATCTACACACGACCATACAGACATTACATCGAAAATAAACCGGTCATATCATTCACTTTGAACAATGCCATCTCTGGCAGGCTGGCCCACAGGTATAAGACATCGTGCACAATATTTAATAATTATGAACAATAGAGACCTTCCGATAAATATCACAGGTAGAAAAAGCTTCGTTCACGTAAATTATATCAATCATAACTAGCTATATTACCTCTTGCAAATTTAACAGGGAAAAATATTCCAGGCTTTCTACCCAAACTTTACTGTTTATACTGAGCCTGTTCATCTAGTGGTCTTTCTTTATGATATATTCCAACTTTCGAGTTGAATACTGCAGAGCATTGTCAGCAAGCAATTCGAGAGACCGGCGCTAAGGTGATACTGACCTTCTTCCATTTCCTCCAAGGACTTGCCTGTTGTTTCTTTGATGAACAACCAGGCATACACCACAAGGATCCAATTGAAGATGCAAAACATCAAAAACATGCCCCAACCCATACTATCAAGGGCATGAGGTGTTGCTTGTGAAAACACAAAATTGAACAACCATTGAGTTGCGGTACCGACCGCAATACCGACCTCACGGATCCTAGTAGGGAAGATCTCGCTCATATATAGCCATGGCACCGGGCCCCAGGACATGTTATAGCACATGGCCTCGAAGTATACCATCAGGATAGATGCAATGCCAGCAGAGCTAATGCTGGTGGCGTCTGGGTCGGGAGGAAATAACTTCGCCAGGATACCCACGATCAACATCAGTGAGCCCATGAGGAAGGCGCCGATGATAAGTGACCACCGTCGACCAATGCGCTCGACGAGAAACAAAAGGAAGAACCAGCAGGAGATTACTTTTGCAACTCCGAAGAAACCGCTCACAAACAAACTGTTGTCACCAGCTCCGACCGCCTGGAATATTTGAGGAGCATCTGTACGTGGTCAGCAAACTATGCGAGTTTGTGCAGATACAATGGTGCTAACAATATGCCAGGGAAGTATTTCCCGTTATCTGAACTCCTATTTGTTGTTAGTGTCTGTAGTTAATCGTGGATGAGCATAATAACAGGGTACATACCGATTTGAATGGTGACTGCAATACACATTCGATGTAGGTTTCCCGGAACTCGCAGTATCTCTTTCCATGTCACACCTTCCGTCGCCAGGTTTTCAGCTTCTATGCCGTCTAAAATTTCCGCCATTCTGCGCGGAATCAGTATCATAACTCTTTGCATACTTGGAATCATGACTCACTCTGCCTGGACTTCTTCAGTCTCCTCCCCTCCTCGGATCCACACTAATGATTTCATAGCTTCATCGTGTCTTCCCTTCTTGGCTAGCCAACGCACACTTTCTTTCAAAAATAGCATCCCAAGTCCCAGGATCCCACCAGGCACTAACTGCAACCCGATAGGGATCTGCCACTGGCTGTCACTGGTCTCAGGGATATGTTTCTCCACTGCATAGTCAATCCAATATGAGAAGAATACTCCCAGGACAAAGAAACCTTGGAAGAAACTTCCTAGCCTTCCTCGGATGGACTTAGGAGCCATCTCAGAGGTGTACATGGGGACAATGACGGTCGCCATTCCGACACCGATGCCACTAACTACTCGTGCGACGTAAAACGCAGCGACGGAATGCGTGGGAATAACTTGAATAATGGCTCCAATACAAAATATGAGAGAGGCGAGTGCGATAGACCAGCGACGGCCATATTTGGCGGTGAATGGCCAGACGAAGAAACAGGCGAAAAAGGCTTTGTGATCATCAGTCGAAGTTGACAAACCCGAAATTCGAGCACACTCACCACCGGCCTGTAGAAGACTATTGGAATTGGAATTGATCGTCGACTTTTGCTTCTCGGTGTATCTGAACGAGTTCTGGAACGATTTAAGCGTGAGCACACCCCCAATAATTCCAGTGTCATAAGCAAATAGGAACGATCCAGTACAAGCTAGGGCGACTGTATAGTAGGCCCGTACAAGGCCTAGAGTCTTCCCCATATTGACTGAAGCCGCGGACGAGAGCTCCGTATCACGGCAAAAGAGCACAGCAACAGATTAAGACAGAGACAGCGGACCAAGACGAGAAGACCTTATATGCACTGCGGGGCACATAAAAAAAAGCGCCATAAGCTCCATAGACTCTCTAAATACCGACCGGTGTACAAAGCCTCTGTGATCGTGGGTTTGATGATTGCGGTATATCAACTAAAATAACACCATTGAGGGCGGGACGAGATTAAACCTTGATAGGGCCGAGGTCAGCTCTAGTCTGGGGTTATCGGTCATGGGGAGCCTTATCCCTGGGCTTCTGGATCAATCAAGGCGAGCCATGAATATGCCAAGCGGCGTTGGTGCGGAGTGAGGGCTCTATCCGATCTTGTGATTGGGATGTTGGACGCCAATGCGCAAGGGCTGCTGGCTTATTTGCTCGCCTCTCGGCTCCAGGATATTAGCCTGACTAGCTCTTCTAACCTTAACAGGCGGAGTATTCTTACCTATCAGATATCTCTCTCGCCGAACGCACGACTCAGAGAATGCGTAGAGCGATCACTTCAAACTCCATTGTCCAACGATCATCTAGCCGGTGAAATGACCATGTGGATGTTAAATATAGCTGCCGTTGTACCTTGAAGAAAAAAAAAAAATCCTTAATTCACTGCTGGCTGGACGCCTAAAGCATAACATCCGCTCGAGCGTCATTACCGAAAACGGAACTCAGCGGTGTCGATCTCTCACAGCAAGAATGCAACGCCGTCTCAAGTCTGGGAAGATCAGCAGTAACCTCCTCGGGTGTCGTCGGGGTTGATACGATGTTGATCTTGGTTACACAGTCTCACAGCCAGCATTTCAATATCAGCATTCTATCCAGCTATCAGAATGGATTCTGACCAACAACGGCTCAATGTAGTCGTGGACATGCCATCATCAGTGTCATTTTATTACTAATGGAGTGCTCGCACTCTTTAGGTTCCAATCCCAACTGGGTAGTAAGTGCCCATTTGATTTTATAGTATTGAAGATGCTTTTTATGCCATAGACCTGCCAAACCGTTGCTATCTTTCCCCTGCGTTCAAGCCGACCTGGTTCAACAATTTCACATCAAAGATCAAATTTGGTGTGGAGATCTGCTCCCACAAACACAATAACATACACAGGACCATGAATACGAATAGGGTAACACAAACGGGTTACTTGATTTGGCAGACTCGTGTCTTGAACACCAGTGACACCCATACGAGGACATACCTGGTTTCGCTTCTAAACTACATACACCCCGCTCAGCCTTTTGAATCTTGTCATCTCACTCATTTATGTATGACAGTTAATTAGAGCCAATCGCGGCCAAGAACCATCATCCCATCTTGATACCGGAATACACCTTGAGCAACCCGAGCTCATCGGCAAATCTGTTGGTTCACTAGATGTCAGCATCCACAAAGGAAGTGGATAGGATATTACAGACTCCTGTATCTGACACGTGAGGGTCGATGGCACATTCCAGTCCCGGACAGCAGGTCCCTATAGAGCCTGCGATAGACACGCAAAGAGCTCCGCGTCGAAGACAAGAATCGGAGCTGGCTGAAGACTTCGGGAGAGTTTGTGCACTAGCACACAAGGCCAATACGGGAAGCATGAGAAGTATTGATCTCATTGTGACGATTGCTTGGTGGTAGTCTTCGGTGGGTCTTGGGGCATAGGTAGTATACGGGCAAGTGTCTCATATGTATGGACCAGGAGAATAATAATTGATGAAATGGCAGTCATAGCTCTTTGAGGGAAACGAATAGCTTTTATAATTTTTCCACGCACACACTGCCTCGTTAAACCATAGTATGTGGCGTGACCCCCTTGCATTTGCTCGGATTAATCCGCAAGGGGACACGAGTGTACGTTGGAGTGCGAATGAGATGAAGGCGCCAGTGAGCTGTTTTAGTATTGTCTCACTAAAACAGAAATTAAGTGAAGAACATATGACAACTCCTTAGGATTCCAAACCCATGTCATTTTAGCCGTGTACACTATGCTAATAACTAACTCTGAAACATCCCTTCACCATACCTGTAAGTCTCGCTCTAAGTACCTGCATAGCTGAGATGACACAATTCCCAATTTAATCCTCTTATAATCAACCATCCGCAGAACCAATACAAGAATACCTGTGTCCTATATGTTACGGGGAAACATCAAACATCAACAAACACACAAAATTGTCCTCCCTCCGTCCCAGGTGATACGCTTTCGAATTGCCATTTGAAAACTTTGTGTGCAGCGTTGATCGCAGAGTTCTTCTCATCCAGGAGGTAAGCAGAGGGCGCAAAAACCAAAGCCTCCCCTGTTCGCAAACGTGCAATCTCATGAAGTCCATCAAGGCATTCTTCAGAGTTGTTATTGTTACTCTCGTCACCAATAGTGACGTGTTTCTTGATCGTTCTGTACCACTCAGGCTTGTAAACCGATGGATAATTGTCATAGAGCAAAGGTCAATCAGCCGCGGCGAAATGGTTGGCTCTTGCGTGGAGATGATGGTCCGAACTCCAAGGTGGCGTTGCTGGCGAATGATGTTAAGGAATGTGTCGGTCAAGTCCTTAGCTGCTGGCGTTTCGCTCATATACTAAAAACTCATGTTAAGCGTATAACAGAGACAGTCACGGGGACTCCAAACTGGTACCCACTGAGCTAGTTGAGTATTTCTTACCTTGTGAGCCTCATCTGCCACGATCATCTTACCCCGTGAGGGATGTGCATGTAGGAAGAGATCAATAGTAATACGAAAAAGGAGACAGGTGGTAGCCTGATCCATGAATGGGCAAGACAAATCCAAGATAGTGATACCACCGTCAGTGAAGTAGTCGCCATTGTGCTCCCCCTTAAGGTCCAGATAGGAATCAAGCAGATCCAATCTCTGATGTAGGAAGGGTGTCTGCATACGATTTATATTTAGATCTTCCAGGCGTCTTCTGAAATCAAGATAATCAAAAGTTCCTCCTTTGTTTTCAATTGCCATTTCACGGAGAACTCTGGTTACCTGGCTCATGTATAAGGGCATCTGGTCACCATTTCCCATGGACATGAGAGATAACATTGTACTGATATTCAAGTGATGTGCCTTGAGTTTGAATGGCTGAACCTCGACATTTGGTATCTGGCAGTACATTCTCTTGAGATTGTGGAAATTCGAGGGAGGCACCAGAATTCTAACGGGGATGGAGAATCCATTCTTCGACCATTCCGGCAAAGCCGAAGACAAGAAGGCAGCTTCGCACGGCTGGGCGCCAACATTCGAGCTGTACTCATTAAAATTGAGCACCAATGTAGAGAGTGGCCGCTTCAGGGCCCCCAAAATAGGCAATGGCAAGGAGCAATTCTCTGACATACAGGTTAGCCATGTGGAAATATGCGCATCGAAAGTCAATTTTACCGATAATGCAACTTGTGGTATGAGACTTCCCGCTGCCTTGGACCCCGCATATGAAGGCCGAGAATGGCACATTTGTGTTTAGCATAACTCTAGGATCTTGGGGTAATGCCGATTGTTGAGCGCTCAACCCACCCATAAGAGCAAATTGGGATGGCATAGTCCTTGCAGTAGCGGATATCAAAACTGCATCCTGCACACTAGTATAGTTCTGGTCTTTCGGATTGCAATCATCTTGATTGTTAGAACTCAGGAAGCACATCTGATTTGCCAGAGAAGGCACGGTCAATGTGGTGAAACAAGAGGGCCTTCCACTTCGACTGTTAGTGGAAAGGTAATCCTGGAAGTCTGCATTACTTGTTATAAACAGTCAGGAACAAGAAAGGAATAATAACCGCCAGACCTTGTAAAATTGCATGTCCATTCTGATCCTCCTTTTTCATAACGTCGTTGATTAATCCTTTGTCTGGGTTCACGTTTCTGTCATGTCCTGTAACCTGGTATCTGTTAGAGGCGTCTTTCTATACCAAGATGATTTAGTGAGAATAATAGGACAATGTTCTTTGCTTACATTAGGTGTGTTTTCATTCTGATTGTGGTTTGTCTTTGGCGGCCCAGATTGTGCTTCTACGCGCTTTCCAATGCCCTGCTGCAGAGAGAAAGCATAGCTAAATGGTCATGAATGCCAGCGCCCAAGTAATGGAGTAGGGTGACTTACTCGACCACAACATTGTTGATATGGTTCTCCTGATCTGGGTGCTTGGCTAGGAATCTAGATTTGATCACATCGCTGTCGACCCGGCCCCTCTCCAAATACATAATCCTAATAGCTTGACGTATATCAGCTTTCAGGTGCGGGGGAGGCTTATTGATCCCTAATTCTTTCTTCAACATTTCGGGTTCTAAGCCATCGAGTGCGACGGAGCATCTCCTGCTACAGTGGAGCAGAAGAGATAGATGAAAAGCAAAGCACGTCGCAAGAGTTGCTCCTGCTGTAAGAAGTGAATATGGGGTCACGTGTAGTAGCGAGCCATATACAACCTCAGGCTACTTGGACACCAGACAAGCTGACGCGTTTCACTGCCCATGACTAAGTCCCACAACTAGAAGACCGTTCGCCAGGTTGCCATCGTGAAATACAGAAATCTAGTTGACGCATCTCCAGGAGAACCAACCGACATATGTACTGTCAGTCTCATAGCTGCAGCACAACTTCACAAGCAGTTATCGAGATACAACTTTTTTGCATGCTTTCGAAATTCTCGCAATGCGAATTGTAATGGAATGCTCTTTCGAGCTCAAGAATCTCCTGATACATGATAACAAATTCCTTTTTCATTATTTGGGCTCCAAACCAATTTTTCTCTGTAGTTATAAGACGAAGCCTTGTGTAAGCTTGTATCTTGCGAGTCATGTTGAATTATACCTAGCCTCTTGATGCGTTTGGGTGAAGGTACAACTTCAAGTCATTCGCCAGGGCCACGCTGAAGTTTCCACGTCAAGGTACTTTTTCTTTTTCTTTTTTTATTTTTATTTTTATTTTTATTTTTTTTTTGGCACAATACAAAGCTTCAGTAACCCTCCCTCTTACAAGAAAAACATACTCAGGAAGCCCTCTGCGGGGTTGCCATGACACATTCCTGACTTTATGACTGGACATTTAGAGCCTCTAATATATAATATACAAATTCCACACAGTAGCATAGCAACCCTTAAAAAAGAGAGAGAGATCTAGAAGACTAGTATAGCAACGATAGAACGACAATGAAAAAAAATCTCTCCCTCGGGGAGTCGAACCCCGGTCTCCCGCGCTTGTTCCTTGTGGGATGACAAGCGGAAATCATGACCGTTAGACCAAGGAAGATGAGGTTGATCGAGTTACCGCTCGACCACTTGGCTCATTGGTGGCTTTCCCGCTTCATTCTTTGTCTTATAAAGCAAATCTTTTTCTGCCAGAAAGACGGCCAGGTGATTGACAGTTTCATTTTCAGCGACAAGTTACAAATTGTGTGCTTCGTTTTCATGGACAAGAGTATTGGAACCGTTGGGACCTTCACTACTACTATTAAATTAACTCCAGTGCTGCAAGTTGACTTATTGAGTACCAACCCCACCGGACATTGTCCTGTAGCCCCGGTTCTTAACACAGCGAATTAAAGAATAATAAGCCTGACTATGGGATTGTCATATGTTCCTCAAAGTTGGCTTTCAACATTTTCACAAGGTATCTTGTGACACCAATCTCCAGCTGGGGTATGGCACTCGTTACCATAATGCTTTATTGCGAGCGACATTCGAAAACCGCGTCGAGAAACTTGAGGATTTACAGCACCATCATCCTACCCGAACGTTTTGTTAACTATCCTTAACCGGAATATCTAGGTTAGTCGCGAGGATACGTGAGTATCGAGTAGGACACCCAGAATGATATCCAGCAGCAATGGTTGTGGGCGATGCCGCAAATAAACGAGCAGCGCATCGACTGATTTATCTGCACGTACTGTCGATATCGTCATACATTAGATGAATTGCAGAAGGGCCCATATTAAAGAGGAACAATTAAGGTCGGACCCCCGACGGCTTGACTGGAGATCTACAGGGGACTAAATCAATTAAAGGGGACATGGATTGTCCATTCAGATGAGAAATTCCAGGAACTCCACCAGAATCGGCAGTAAAATTACCCCATTGGGAAATATCCCCAGGAACAAGCCGCCGATGGTCGTTGGAATAACAGCTTATGTTGGCTGCTCTAAGGCCACGATGTAACATTATCATGCATCTTGTTTTATCCCACTGGATTGAAGCTTTCAGCCAAGGATTGATCTTCGCTCATTAGGCAACTTTCCACAGAACCTTGGTCAGTTGATAGTGATGTCTCGTTCCCCTCTTCACAAGCAGACTTTGAAACACCCGAGCGTCGCCTCCCATGTATATAAGCCAGACCATTCCTAGTCTAAAATTCTCCTTCGAGTGTGATAAGAGGAACTAAATACCAATCTCCTTGTTGTTTGTTAGAGTGTCCCAAACCCTCTTATTCTGCTTGCTAGAATGTGGTTTTCAAGCACTGCGTGGTTGCTACCATTGGCACTTGCAGGAAGCGTCCAGGCGCTGCCGAAAGGTGCTAAAATAGGCACAACAGCGTCCCATGTCCGGAAAGGCGGAGTCACTTACAACGTCTTTGAACATGCTGCTACTGGCGCCAGGTTGGAATATGTCAATAACTCCGGTATCTGTGAGACCACGAAGGGCGTGAATCAGTACAGTGGCTACTTGAGTGTGGGAGAGAACCAGAATATGTTCTTTTGGTATGAGTCCTCCTTATCTTTGTCCCACTTATGGAAACATCTGACCGGATGATCAGGTTCTTCGAGAGCCGCAACAACCCGCAAAAGGCGCCTCTCTCGGCCTGGTTCAATGGCGGCCCCGGCTGCTCTTCCATGATCGGGTTGTTCCAGGAGAATGGACCCTGCCACTTCGCCAATGGCGAGGATACTCCGTCTTTGAACGAACACAGCTGGAACAACTTTGCCAATATGCTCTACATTGACCAGCCTATCGGTGTAGGCTTTTCGTATGGAGATAACCCCGTTAATAGCACGTGGACTGCTGCTCCATATGTTTGGAAGTTCCTTCAGGCCTTTTATGAGCATTTTCCACAGTACGAAAGCCGCGACTTTGGCATTTTCACCGAGGTGAGACATTCAATCAATGTATGACGTGTGCGTACTGAGATGCTGACTGAGCAAGTCATACGGTGGTCACTATGGCCCCGGTTTCGCTTCCTATATCCTGGACCAGAACAAGGCGATCGAAGCTGGCAGTCAGAAAGGTGAAAAGGTCAACTTGGTTGCTCTAGGAATCAATAATGGCATGTTCGACTCAACCCTCCAAGAGAAGGCTTACATCACATTTGCATACAACAATACCTACCGACAGCTCATTGATGAGTCATTGAAAGACAAGCTTCTGGAGGCTTACGAGTCTGAATGCCGTCCAGCTGTTCAGAAATGCCAGCAAACCCAAACAGACGAGGACTGCCAGAACGCCGGCTCAGTGTGCGGAGAGACAGTCGAGGATCCAATCATGCAAGCCGGCGGTGACTTTAATGTCTATGATGTGCGAGAGCCATCCAACGATCCCAATCCACCAGGGACATACTCCAAGTACATCACAAGACCCGACATCATGAAGGCAATCGGTGCGAGGTCGGACTACCAAGAATGCGCGAATGCGCCCGGACGGAAATTCGGTGCTACCGGAGACGGTGCGTATCCCAATTATCACTTCTAGCTCTCGGATCTAACTTGAGCAGAATACCGTTCAACCCTCCCAGATTTGTCTGAGGTCATCAAGGCAGGAGTCAACGTCCTTGTCTGGGCAGGCACCGCAGACTATATCTGTAACGTCGATGGAAGCATCGCCGTGGCTAACGCAGTTGATTTCCCGGGACGCGACGAATTTCAAGGCAAGGCCCTTGAGGCCTATAAGGTCAATGGAAAGGAAGCTGGACAGTTCAAGTCTGTCGACAACTTCCATCTGCTGACGGTATACGATGCTGGGCACGAAGTTCCCTACTACCGTAAGTTCTGAACGTTTACCTTTTACATGACCTGACATAATTTGCTAATTGATGCAGAGCCGGAAACTGCCCTTCAAGCCTTTACCCAGATTTTGCAGAAGAAGCCACTCTCATCCACATAAACCCTGTGAGGTGAGAAAATAGGCTTATATAAGGCATTATAAGCCAATTGAAGCAGTGATTGGTGTGAAGTTGGGCATAGTAGGAGCCACCAGATAAAATGTGAAGCTACACGCCACTTGGCCCTTGATCTCAAGTGCCAAGCCGGCCATACGATTGCATATTTTGTGTTATACTATTGTAAATAAGGAAGCAGTTGACAGAATTTATTGCCAATGATCGTGAACATAATGTATCTCTGCGACCACTGATCTATGACCAAATATGCGCGGAGCAATTTCCGCTGCCCCATGGAATGGAAATCAGTCTGATTTATGGCTGTATATGATGTTACAAGGCTTACTTGCCCGTGCATGTCCTGTATAATTCATTTAATAGTCGAGGGAAAGTCTACTGGATACCTCAACCATCATGTGAGATCGGCATAATCTCTTTTTCCACGTTATCAAAACTGAGAAAATCTACTATAGATAGCGTTAGACGGCCCTTGTTCACAACAGTCCGTTATTGGGTTATGCAAAGGGAGAGGAATATAGCTCTTAACGCTCTCATGATGGGCAACTCTTTAACGCAGATTCTCATTGGATCGTATGCCTTAGTCAAATTTAGATAGCTATAAGCTACACGTCACATTGAATCAAGCTCAATTAGACCTACTTTCGATTAGTGCAGGGCACCTCGAATTCAAATCAAGGGATAAACTATAATTCATTCAATAGCGAAGTAAGCAACGGCGATATGAGCCCATTTCGGACTTGATATGTGCTCACAATTACAGTACAGAGCAGCCGAGGCGAATTTTGTTGTTTACCATATAAGTTGCTTCTAAGTTAAGCTGGCTCCTGATTCCGTTGCCCAGCCCATAATATAGAATGTGGAGCTGAACTACGTATGCCAGCACATCAAAGTAAAACATCACAGAAACTACTCCGTACATGCCAAAGCAACTTGGTAACCTTTATACTTGCCCACCATTATTGCTAAATTTGGCTTGTTCTTCATGCAAAATCCCTATCCAACACCAGGAGTCAATGGACACTCTCGAACGGGCCAAGGCTATAACACGAGGTGGCAATGTGGTGGCTATATGCACATGTCCAAACCCGAGCGCGCCCTGCCTCCCATTTTGTATGTGTCTCAAAGCCTAGTGGTGTGTATTTTGGTATGCTGCCTATTCCAGGCTTGGTTAGAATTGATTGGAAATCGAATACTCCTATAATTGACTCAAGTTGTAACTGTCCAAAACAAGACAAATTATCTCTTCAGCTACCCGACTCTAGGTGGCGCTAATACGACGACTGCATAAATCACACGATCCATGGATCTTATGAGTGTGTTGTTTCTATGTCCGATCGGGGAGACGCTATATTTAGACTACGACTTTCTTTACCATCGTTTTGCGAAACGATTATTGAGGGCTCGGCTCCTGGGCAGGGCCTACACGAGTGAGACATTTCGATCCGAGATGGCCGGGGCAGACATACGGGGTAATGATCGACCTTTAATTGATGTGCCAAGTCCAGAAAAACCCACATCGTCTCCTCGTCAATATGTTCCCTGAGACATAACCAATTAACCCTTTGCCCCCAACGTCTGATGTCATGGGAGCAGTCTCCAGCTCTACGCGAGGGTCGCCCCCGACCGTTATTGCCTTAATTTGGGGATGCGGCCCCAGGTGTATAAATACACTAGGACTCCCGTCTTGAATTTACTAAACTCACTCATACATACTCTATCACGAAAAGAAGGCCCATTGACTCTCAGCTTCCCTTGCCAAAAATGAAGATCTCCGCTGCCATTTCTACTGCCCTGCTGGCCGTTAGTGCCGCTGCGTTCGACAAGAACCAACGTAAGTGTTATCGCTCCATCTCACTTACCAAACAGGATAACTAAGATGAAATATAGCCTGGGGCAAACGCGACTACAACTGTGTCAACGTCTTCCAGGGCATCCCTGACAACTCGACTGTCGCTCCCGGCGCTGAGATCAACATCAAGTTCAACCGCAACTCCAAGAACTGCGACGCGTCTCTGTCCCAATTCCCAGGAGCAGATTACTCCATCTATCTCTACAACAACCCTGTCAGAAACCTGGATGTTATCCATTTCGACCGTGAGCTCCCGATTAAGAAGGGCATCCCCGAGAAGGACGGTGCTGTCACGATCACCATCCCGTCTCAGGAGGAGCTCGGCACCGTCGCGGACGACAGCGTTTGGTATCTCCGTCTCTCTACTAGCTTGAACACCGCCCCCCAGATGCCTACTCTCTTCAATGCTGCCGGACCTTTCGCTATTCGTGCTTAAAATGTCCATGGCAGTCGTGTGTGCCACCGCAATGAACTATTGATATGGGGAATGGAAGGCTATTTTGACATATACCCTTGGATTAGCGTATCGCCCAACGCAAATGTTTTGCATTCCACATCAGATTATTCTAATACCGGAAGATGTACATGTTGATATTCTACGTCTCGGGACCAGGGCGTTGAGCCTTTATTCTAATATCTGTCTATAGCTTAATTGAGTGTATACTTCAAATTAGATAACAGGGCTTCTTTGGCCATGTGACTTTGTGCTTTTCCGTAGAACATCAACATGTGTTATTTCTTCGATGAATCAGATGGCTCACGTACGAATATGTTAGACTAGGATTCATAATCAAAATGATACTGAAAAAGCTGGCTGAACCTGCATTTCCGCCCTGGCCTTTCTTTCCGGTTCATATCGATGTGGCATGTATCCCTTTCCATGAACCCCATAAGTACAGAAATTAGTCATTAAGCTAATGAGGGGGCTTCCAGGCTCCTTCGCCGTTCGCAATTCCAATGCTACAACTACAGGTGATAACTGCGTACTGCCCAAAAGCCCTCAGAGGGGAATACCTATACTCCCCGTATATGAAGATGCGGAGGAATAAACTTAACCATGAGAATATCATCCAAGTACTGTGGCTTCCAACAATCCCAGTATATTATTCAATGGTATCTCGTACTCGTTAACTCGACGCTCCCCCGCTGACAGTCGCATCACTCATATTCCTAAACTCTCACACCAAAGAGGCTCTAGGCTACTCTTCTGTCCGCATCTGCATCTTCTGACTTCTTCCCAATATAACTGTGCTCAAATCACCCACTGGGATCGCAATCGGAAAGTCCACTGCTTCCAACATTTGCGCAATGAAGATATGCCAAATGGGTATAACCAAAGCGAGACTGAATGCACCTGCAGCCTACATATAATATATGTTAGATAAAAAAGAGTATGAAAAATGGGAGAAAGGGTAATGGGACATACCATTTGAAGTCGAGCAGCAAGAGCAATCTCTCCCAGCGCCAGTTGGAAGTAGGTGGCGGCGAATAGGGAAAAGGTAATAACGAGGAGGAAAAGAGCGGTGAAAAGGCAGATGTTGGTTCGGATTGAACATATTGTGTACACAAAGGTAAGGATTGCTAAGGCAACGTAGTAAAACGCTAATGGTATAGCTGGTTAGTGACCGACACTATAGCTTCCGGGAGTTGAGTGATGTGGTTGTACATACCCATGGTAGCGTTATATGATGGAGTTTGCATTCCCTCCAGTGCATTACCGGTCGATGAGTAGTGAAGCCCCGTTGCAAAAAAGGGCATGAGACCTGTTCCTTGTACGATCCAAAACGTGCCTTGATGGAGTCAATTGAGGGTATCCACATGACTGGAAATTTGCGATACACACCATAGGTAAAGAACAGAGCGCATGAAAATGTGTTCCCAATAATCCATTCCCCAATACCGCCCAGGATTTGTATAAGTCCCCCAAAGAAAATGAACACGGGCCTGCGCCGCTGTGAGCCTCCAGAAGGGAAGTGGTCAAACAGATTATAATGTACTCACAGTATTGCGGCACCATTCTCGCCACTTCCCCTGATACCCAGCGTTATAAAGGCGTTTGGGGTGGCAGCTACCAGAAATCCAATAAGTGATATTGGAGTAGGATTACCTACTTGCTTACGCAAGTCACCTTTCACCGACGGATGTTTGGGGCTCAAGTAAAGCTTTTCGAACACATCGCGAGATACAGGAAGAAAGACACTCTCGGCTGTTCGAATTGGCCGAAGAGTGTCGATGTCATGCTTCTCACTGATATCACCACTGGACATGATTAAGGCTGCGAAACGGGTGATGGCTTGAGATCTTGGGGATTGCTGTAGTGTAAGCAATTCTAGGTCTACAATAAACCTATATATACCTGGCTCATCCATAAGCTTACCCCACATTATTTGCTTTAAGCTACATCATCATCTAACATCCCCGTATGGTCAATGCCGACCTGCATGCCGGTCTAGTTGATACGGATCCGTTTTATGCGGGTATCGCGGAGAGAAATGCGGGGATAGCTCAATTTTGAGTTGTATTCGAGATCTTTAAATGGGTGAGAGCTGAATTAGAGTTATCGATAGTTGAACCTTCCCCACGTTTAGAGTATGCTCTGGAGCAGGGTTCACAAATCCTGCCATGTGTTCTTGATACGCCAGGGGGTGGGATGGGCTGCATGGCGTGAAGCCGAAGGAGCCCACTTCATCCACCCACGAATACATGAGCGATTACTTACTGCTACAAAAAGCCAATGTCTTGTCTGAAGACACAAGCACATTCAAGATCTGCACCTAGTGGCGAGAGGACGAGCGGAATCGAACCGCATTATTCAGTAGGATGGATACATTCGATGGTGGCGATTTCCCTCGGTCTTTCAGGAATCTGTTATGAAGTGGGCCAACCAATAGTTGCATGGTAATTCTTGATACTTAGAAAGGATTTCCATATGGCCGAGAGCTTAATTGTCGGTAGTTTGAGTGCACGGTTCTCTACCATCTTTCCCCTCATACGCCTAGATGCTCGATTAAGCCCCTCGCTCCAACCAACCTGCTATTTGAGAAACTCAATTTGAGTCCTCAACTCCATGTAACTCCCGAAAGTCCCACCCGCTCGTACCTCGCAACTCGGGTTCGGTTAATGCGGGACCCAGCCGAGGAAGGACGTCACTAACTTAGAATCCTTCGAGATCCCGCCAAACCCTAACACAAGATACATTATCTCAGCTGAACGTTTCTACTTACGCGATTGTTTCTAATGTATTCAATGCTCACTGTTTCGAGCCTTGCGGCATTGGGGACAAGGAACTCCGTAGCCATCAGCAGGATGCAGGGCCATGCTGTAGCAGGGTTTCTCAGTGGCAATCAGTGGCAATCAGTCTATCCAGCAACAAGCAATATACAGATCGACAATAAGAGAAACTACCCAGATAATGCCAGCCACTAAGCATATGCTATTTAATCTTGAAGCTTAACTTTGTTCTTATTTGGGCAGGAGCATAAATCTTAGGTTAAACACTTCCGCTGTAGTTTCCGCCGTAGCGGGTTCACAGCGGAATGGGAGCGGAATATAACGGGATTGCGGTTCAATCTGCGGGTCAAGTAATAAACTTCGACGAGTGAAGTATGTATACCCCGCTATTTCCTACCTATCGAAATACTAGAACTATAATAGGGCCGATGTCACCAGAGGCGGAGATGTGCCATTTTATGGTAATACTAGATGGCTAGTATGCCGACTGGTTATGGATTGGTGCTGGGATGTTTCGCAAATATTGCGGGGAATCGAGGCAAAGGTCAATGCCGTTGGAGATTAGCAGCCTCTTGTGGGGGTAAAAACCGTATCCAGTCCGCAGTGTAGACCCTTCTTCAGCCAGGCTATTGGCCATGCGCATAGGCATCTGCAGCGGTCGTGCACCCACGTATGACCGTAGGATAGGCTGGGGGTAACCCGCCTTTCCCCCTAGCCCTAAATGGCAAGCCAGGCTGGCTGGACCGCAATCCAACAACTGATGAGCTGAGGGTAGGCAGTATTGCGATCATTATGCAGAATATGTGTTATCCCCTTCCCATGGGCGAAACATGCTAATTTAACTCATGCCTAGCCTAGCGTCGCTGTCGATGGTTGTCTGTCTCAGCCTAAACCCAATCCGTGTTTAACCGACGATGGCAAGGTATTAGGCTTCGGAATATATGTAGTAATAGTGGTGGAGCTTATCAAAAGACTGTTGAGATTATACTGTAGTTACTGGCCCACCGACCCTGTCAGGAATATCCTTGGCCTTCCTCGAAGTCTACCACAAGCAGACGAGATAGGTGCTAGAAAGCAGCAGTACCGGCCGCATGTTAGAGTAGCAATTTTGCGATGTAATGTACGGTGAAGATAAAAGTGAGATATTGACCGTGAATGTAGTGGCTAGCGAGCATGAGAATGATGAATGAAGAGGGAGCAGAACAAAAATACAAAGAAGAGACCCGATCAAAACTCCAAAAAAGACAACATGACCATGACTCGCAATGTGTCGAATGCCCCGGAATGTTACTTAGGGGATAAGAAGATCTGCATATAACTAGGGCAAAGAGTTTAGCGTCTTAAAAGCTAGTCGGCAACAGAAGTCAAACATGAGTATGTGTCATGAATCAATTAAGATACTTCGTGCAATGATAAATTAAGCTTTTCGGACAAGCTTTTGCCAATAGAAGTTTACGATGATGATAGCAGCATATTGTCCGCTATACATAAGAGAAAGGTATCACAGAGATTAATTCTTTGCACCACCACATATGCGTACAGTACCCCGTACAGCAGCACATGGAGACTAGGATATGATAGAGATAACCAAACTTGGTAATTCCGACCTCGGGATGCCGAGAAGGGAAAACATGCTGCGCGATCAAATGTTCGGGAACAACGTGGCGTGTTAGAATCTTCCTAGTGGGTGTCATAGTCGCTTGCTACACGATATTATTCTCTGCCTTTTTTCCGTGTTTACTCCGTATGCCGTTCACTAATGCCGAGTTCGACCACTCGGGTATTTCCGAGGGGAAACGTGAATTTGCAGATTAGCGGTCAGGAATTAACCGTCAGCTAGGGGTTGGTCTGAGAGTGCCGAGATTTTACCTAGCGTGTGAAGAATCTTCCATTAGCTTTGGTGTTAAGTTTTTCTTCCTTTTTTCTTGAAACTTTCGGTGGTGCTAATAATAATCTATGCATATACTAAATTTCGAGTGAGGCAGGAACCTTGTGCTCTACTTTTGAGAGTATCATCTACGCGGGTGATCGACACATAAATGACGATCCATTCAATCTGAAGAATGTGTGCATGTTTGCTTTAGGAAATCACTATGCATATCCATCACAAATAGTGGCAGAATTATATACTAGTAAATTCAAAAGCAACTTGTCATACTTGGCGTGAAGGGAAGATCTATAGCATGGGGATATCTCGTATGCTCTAAAACAGAAGAAATGAAAAACAGCAGATTTATGAAGAGGAAGTTGTTCCGTAGCCAATATCAAGTGACATGCTCCTTTTCCTCTTCCTTTGGAATTCTCACCCAGACAACAGTTACCAGCGCAGCTAGTAACTGGCATGCCAACGCAAACCACCAAATGGCCCGAAGTCCAGTCAGACCTACATCCCCATCTGGGCCCTGATCGACTTTAGTCCCAATCGCATCAGCAATACTTGTAATAATCGCAGAGGAGAGGTTCTGGTTTGTGACTAAGAGACTGGCTGCGCTTCCTTGATAGGATCGCGGAACGTTGCTCGTGATGAAGATGGAGGCAGCGGCGAAAGCCATATCCGGTCCGAACGTCACGAGGGCTACACCGGGAAAGGATAAGGCCCAGTAAATTGTATTTGGAGTTTGCGGAAGGAAGAATGCCGGTCCGAGAGTAAACGCAAACATGGAGACGATATAGATATAATGACCGGGGACCAGATGCAGGATGCGACTGACGATGAAAGTGGCGATGATGCCGACAACCGCATTAGGGATGTGGTATAGGGCCACTGCAATAGGGGTCGCATGTTGAATTCTCAACCAAAACTGAATTGCATAGAACTGCCATGCCCCGAAAAATGAACCGAATCCTAAAAAGTAGGCCACCATAAGAGGAGTAAAGCCTTTCGTCCGCCACAAACGACTGGGAATCAATGGCCTCGCCACATATCGTTCTGTGACAAACAGGCAAATAAGAAAAACGATGCCTAGCGCTACTAAAACGCACGTATATACCGACCACTTAGTGACTGACCCTTGGGTTAAACCGAATAGGAGACACACACAGCCCGCAATGGCAAATAGGGCTCCAATATAATCGAACTGACGCAGAGTGGGCGCTTCTGCGCCTTCCACGTCGGCAACTGGACGAAGAGGAGGAATCGAGAAGAAGGCAGCGACAGCACACAAACCAGTGATAATGGCATTCACACCGAAGATCCAGGGAAGGTTTCCGTGGAGAAGACCGCCTTCAATGGCCCCCAAACTGAATCCTAACGGAGCCGTAGCACTGATAGCAGCAAAGACGCGATTCTTGCGGATACCAGGGCTATAGAGGCGTCCAAGGACGCTCATTGAGCCAGAGACCAAAACACCAATAGCGAGTCCTTGCATTGCTCTTACAATGAAGAACAAAACCTCTCTTGACGGATCAAGAGAAAAGGCGCCGACCACGTTCCAGATAGTAAGCCATGCAAATGCGCCCACAATGGCACGCCGAGGTGGAGTCAAATCCAACAAAGAGCCTGATACAACAACTGACACCCCATTAGAGCAAGCGTAGGCCCCTACAAGCCATGGGAGCGAGGTATTTCCGATTCCCAGGGCTTTCTTCAGCTCCAATTGCACCACCAACATGTTGCCAAGCAAGAACGAGAAGAGCATTAGACCTGCCGAGCAGACAATGACAAGTACAATCTCTGCTGTAAAGCTTGGTATTTCAGGAGGACGTCCTTGCGATGGCTTTGGGGGTGGCGATGCCGACTCATCTGCCATATCACGGCCACGGATGGCGGATGGCCTCCGGTTATGCAACCCGTCAATGGCTGCTGCTCGACCTCTCCTCTCTTCTAATTCAAACTCATCTCCACTCTCAGCCCCCTGAGTAATCGTCGTCGGTAGCTTTTTCAGCAAGTCCTCGTTATTGACAGGCTTGGGTCCCAGGAGAGGATCCGGGGTCTGTGCGCCCGTGGCAGGAGTTGAGGCCGTTCTGTTATTATATGAAAACGATGACCTGGTGGACAGCGGAGCAGAATCAAAGCCATCGTTGTGAATGTTGGCAA